ACCGGCCTGGGCCCGGCCCTGCCAGGAGACAGCCCAGCCGTCGCTGTTCGCTGCCCGCCTTTCTAAAATCGCTTGTCTAGTCGAAGGTTACTTGTGTAATTCCTGAGCACAATTTAATAGCACTCGAACTACTGAGGTCAAAATTTGAATTATGTTTTTAGTATTAATACCAGAGAGTATATAGGAAAATCTATTTCCCACTTTCCTGTTTGCACACGTTGGCTTGCTGGTTTTGCGAACTAGCATGGTGTCCCAGCTGAAGCTTACACACATACACACACACACACACATGCACACACACACACACACACACACACACACACACACACGAATGGTTAAATGTGGAAACCAGGCTGGGGGCCGAAAAGGTTCCTGCCATTTCCACGGAAATCGTAGGCGTCTGCGGAAAGTGCCCTTTTGCCTATGTTCTTGGCTCATCCCAAAATGGCTCTTTCGACCTTGTAGATGAGACCAGCCTTGGCAACTTCGCCAGACTCTGTCTCATAAAAAAATTAAGGGCAGGATGTAGCAAAGAGCGTAGGCCCTGAATTTAATTCACAGTACAAAGTGTGTGTGTGGGGGGGGAATCACTACTTCACTAGAAAACATAAAACCTTGGCCACTCCAGAAGCAAGGGCAGGCCTCTGTTTACTTTGTTCTGGAGGGTCTCACAGATTTCCTGGATGATTATGAGAGGGGGCCCTTGTGCTGAGTGCAGTTTGTTACTGCCTTGCTTAATCTCACTTCTTTGAGAACAAATTTTCTGAAATGGAATTATTTACCACTCTGAAGTGGGCCCTTTTAACAGGTTCTCTTAATTTTTTCAACATAGGGGATCCTACTAAAGTTCAAAGTGGTAGGTTATGGTGCAGGATTAGGCAAAGCTGCACTAAATGGAATTCTGAAAAAAATAGCTAATTATCTAGTAGTACATAAATAATTGTGGTTTCCTACCCTTGGGAGTGTGAAGCTCCAGCAGGGCCTTTTGTGCACCCTTACCAGGAGAGCAGCTTGCTCAGTTTCTCCTGATCTGCTTAAATTCCTGACTCCTGGGGAAACTGGAAGCCCAAGATTGTTGTGTAAGAGCATAGGCCCATGCAGCTGCTGCTGATTGTCAACCCTTCTCCTGGTGATAAGAATGACATAAATAACAACTCACTAAAATACAGGAGTGATTTGCTTTAAGCACTTAAGCACCTGCTGTTACTAATTAAGGGTTTTAGCCTGCCACGGATTGCAAATGGAAATCCAGTGTTCTAAAAATTATAGATACTGGAGTGCCCAGCGTGTTAATGTGACTACAGAAATAAAATGGAGTGGATAAAGAGCATTAGTGATGATGTCATATAAAAGCTGTCCATATTTAGAGTCCAAGATGTTAATAGGGTATACCCTGAATGGTGGCATTACTGATGCATTTTATTTTCACTCTAATTTCTTTTGAATTTTCTATTATTTCTCAGCATATTGCTTTATTTTTAACTGCAGTAAGCAATTTAAATAGAAAAATATGTTAAATGAAGTCTAGCATCACTTCAAATTCTGCTCATAGGTGAAAATCTTAAATATACTGAAAGGCAGTTTTGCAAAAGTAGAATATATTAGAAACTTGTATTCCTCTTTCTTTTATTACCAGTAAATGTCTTCTCATTACTTATGTTCATATATTATACCAGCAACACTATTTTTAACTGAATAAGTATTCAGATTTATGTTGATTATAAGCTATTCACTTAATCTGAGTCACTGGATAGTGGACTTGAACAATGTTCTAATTTCTCTGATTATGAACATTCTGAGCAAGCCATGAAGAATCCTGTGGTAAGAGAGCAAATCAGATCTTTCAAAAAATTTTTTTTCTTCCTGCTGCCTCTGCCATGACTTTAGGCACCGTGCAAACTTGAGACTCTTGCACAGAGTGTGGGTTAGTAGTGCCTCTTATCCTTTTCTGATCTTTCCAACCTCTATTCAGGTTTCTCCTCACTCACTCCCCAGTATCCATGTTTCACCCCTTTTGGTCTTCTTGACTCTTCTCTACAAGACTGAGATTCTGGGGACTTTAGGATCTAAGCCTTATGGGGGGAGTATTGCAATCAGAACATCAGGTGCTTACTTGTGAAAAGGCTTCAGTTAAGCAGCTGATTTCTGTTATTCAAAGCTCACTTTTTGCTTCTCCGTAGACCCTGTTTTCCAAGCTTTGTGACTCAAATGATGCAGAGAACAGTTCCATTCAGAGTTGTTTTCATTGCCTAGCATGGAAACATTTACCCTCAAGTTCCACTCCTGTCTTCTCTCTTCCTCTCTGGTTAATTAATATTTTCTGTTCTTTGTGATCAGGTGTGGCATCATTTGAGAAAATATGGCAGTAACTACCACCCACAGGGCATATACAAATATTTGTCCTTACAACAGTATGGCAATGTTAGTATTTATCATCCAGACCAGGATCACATAAATATCTGACTTACTAGTGAGTGGCGGGACTAACGGACTGACCCTGATCCTTGCCTAAAAAGCCTTTGTTCCTTTCCTACTGCTTCAGGTTGTTGAGAAAAGATCAGTAACAGCTCTGATAAAACAGAAGCTCATACACTATTCTGTGTTCCAAAGGTGGAAAGACATGCTCACTTAGCCACAGAAAGAAAAATTGCTGAGACTGTAAGCCCCACGAAGTCAGGAACCTTGTCTGTTTATCCAGAACTGTGTCTGCTCAGTAGGAAGGGTGCAGTAATATTTATGGGGAAAATAAATATCAAGCATATTTAAACAGACACACAAAGTACCAGGATGTTTTTAAAGAAAAACCTTTCTAATAGAACCCATGATGCCTGGCTTATACTGTATGTCATTTAAATGTAATTATTTACAGCACCCCCTTTCATTCTCAAAAGGCCTCAGTAAAAGATAAAATTATTTAGTTGCTTTACCTGTATCAGATATTTTTCGGCATTCAAAGGCAGCTTCAATTAACCAGGTTAATTAAAAAATAAAGCTACAATCACTATTATAACCACTTGATTGTTTTGGTGCTTTGCACAAAACAATATATTAGTATAGATTAAATCAAGTGCTGCAGTGGAGAATCACAATCTGCACTGATAAAGTGCTCCTGAAATGTTCCTGGGAATGAGGACTATTCATAAAATGAAAATCTGAAACAGTCATAGGAGAAGGGCCCCAAAACCTGCCATTGTAGAAATTCCAAGTTTTAGAGCTCATCTGAAAGTGTTGTATTCTCTTAAAATGCAGGGGATTTGAGAGATGTATAAGGAAATAAGATTATTGATTTGAAGTTATAAAAGGGTATGCTAAGGAGTTTACATTTTTATCCTCTTTAATGTAGGTGTGGGGCAGTTGAGTAAGACTGGTTCATGAAGGTGAACTGAAAAAACAGATACACCTCCCCAGACTCCATAGCAGGAGATAATTTTGACCCAGGATAATACCTTTGGCAAGTAAATATCATAGAAAACAAGGGTAGGAGTAAATATTTTAAATTAAGAATCAGGGATTTAGCTCAGTGGAACCTCGCCTGCCTCATAAGTGAAAGGTCCTGATGAGTTTGAGTCTGATCCCCAGTTATAAAAAAAAAAAAAAAAAAAAGATTCCAAGGAGGTGCAGGGGATTTAACTCAGTTGCATCATGCCTGTCTCACAAGTGCAAGTGGTACCAAAAAAGAAAAAAGAATCCAAGGAGGCATAAAAACCAAACCAATACTTAATCCTTTATGAGATCTTAGTTCAAAGAAGCTTCTCTCTGAACAAACAAAAAACCCACAAAACAAAATAAAAGATAAGACAACTTGAAATTTAAGAAGCAGATGGGATCAAATTTCCACTATAACCAGAATAGGAAAACTACACCTTAAGAAACATGAAGAGAAAAAATGCGGAGGTAGGGCTGGGAATGTAGGTATAGCAACTGCCTAAAAGTGTAAGGTCCTGAGTTTGATTTCTGATGGGGGGGGAGAAAAAAATAGACCCCCAAAAAGCCCCTTAAAAAAAAAGAAACGTGGAGGTAAAAATAATAGTCCAGGCTCAATGTTAACAGAAATAAAGTGGGCAGCGGGTGTGCATGTGGATTGAATTACCTAGATGCAGATCACCTGGGCCAGGTGGGCCCCTGAATTTCATTACCCCAGGGACTCCTGGTTTATTTCTGCTGCAGCAAGAGCAATGGTGATTTTAACTCCAGGATCCAATGCAAAAACTACTCTTTAAAGAAAATGAATTATAAGCAGATGAGGATTCCTGGTGTGGGTAATTTCCAGATCTCTATCATCGCCAAGGAGGACAAAAGGAAAGCAGCTCTGGTCAGGGGAAGCATAGTGAAATTGCTGTCTATGAATCAGAAGTCATGTACTCACTAGACACTGAATCTTCTAGTCCCTTTATAATGGACCTCTAGCCTTCAGAATTATCACTGTGAATGGGCTAGAATGTAAGGGAATAGAAATAAACTAAAAATTCTAATTCATATCCTTAGAATATCACATCCTAAAAAAGGAGGTGATTAAAAAATTACAAAAAAAGAAAAAAATCTTAAAAATTAGCAAGTCACATTAAATTGCAAAGCTCTTGAGAAGTATTGAAGATTGAGGTAGTGATCTGGAAAATAAAGTTAATGGAGTCTAGTTTCTCACAAAGAAATTGAGACATGAAGGATATTGGGAATTCCAATATCTGATAGATTTACAGGAGCAAAAGACAATATTGAGAAGGAAATATCACAGAAATATTGGAAAGACATTTCCAGAGCCAAAAGATGAATAAAAGCCATACTCAGATATATATATATATATATATATATATATATATATGCTATCAGAACCCAGACAATAAAGAGGGAAATAAATCACCTATATAAAAACAAAGCAGCTTAATTTTTTTGTCAGTAACTTGGAATGTCAGAAGAAAGTGGAGCAATGTCTTCAAAATTCAGGTACAATGTAAATTGACCTTAGTATTTTTTTATTTTTATTTTTTGTACCGGGGATTGAACTTGCGACCTTCCATTTGCTAGGCAGGTGGCAGAACCACTGAGCTATATCCCCGGCCCTGACCTTAGTATTTGCTAGGTAAAATTACCACTGAATTGTGAACACAGAATGAAGAATAAAGATGTTTTTGCATATACTAGGACTATCTTTGTACCATTAGATAATCTTTAGGAGACTTTCCTGAGTTTGTACTGTAATTCAATAAGATAAATTAGAAACAAAAAATCATTTCATTTAAATGTTAACAAAAATGTAAAAATTGAATGATTAGAAGGTTGTTGTGACATAAATGCATGAGCTGGCATGGGATATTAAGTGGCGGGAGACATGTTAAGTATGCTGTTTTAGAGAGAGGCTGTAGATTTAGGTTAACTCTATATCTAATTGAAAGTGGATTCATACCCTTACTAAAAATTAAGTACTTAGTTCCTGGTGGCCAAACTAATAATTCGTGTACAAAATGAATAACAGGAACATTGGATTGTAACCCAAAGAATAAAATAAATATCCATAAACCCATACTGATTTATGATTGGCTAAATGAATGAGGAAGACAACTCTTCCTTATATAAGAATTCCAAGTGTTAAACAGAAGGGAAGGAAATAGAAAATTATCATTGGAATGTTGCACTTATAATTGTGACGTTCTTGCCTGTGGATCTTGAGGATCCACTTAAGAATGTTAAAGCAGAAAGCTGGACTTGTAGGACAAATGGATTATTTGCATAGCTTCATCATCCCTCCATATTCATTTACTGCTATGATGTTTTTTTACCATATATCCACGGTTTGCTATTCCTTCCTCCAAGAGGTGGTAGGTGATCGAGACCCTTCCACTGAGTGTGTCTGGATTTAGTGACTCCTTTCTGAAAACAATGTAGAATTTACAGGGGCAACCCTCTTGTGCTTTAGCCAAGTAACCCAGGTAAACTACTCTGGTAATGTCTCCATACATGATACCCTGATGAGGGCACTTCATTGTTAGGTATTTTTCTAAAAAAATCTATAGTCCCAGTCTAATACCTAGATGCCATCAGATATATCCAAGTTGTGGAATGTTTACAGAATACCTGACACTATTCAAGAGTCACAAAAAGCAAGGGAAAACTGAAGAGTTTTACTCCTCAAACTGAGGATTGGAGAAGACTAGGAGACAGTGAGGACTAACTATAATAATGTGGTATGCTTGCTGGGATACTGAGACAGAAGAAAGCCATTAGTGGAGAAATTGAAGTCTGTAGTTTATCTAATAGTACTGTCCTATGTTACTTTCTTAGTTTTTTTTTTTAATTGTAAAAACTCACATTTTTTTTTTTTTTTTTTAATTGTAAAAACTCACATTTTTTTTTTTTTTTTTTAAGTTTTGATAATAGTACCATGGTTGTGGAAGATGGTAGTAGAGAGTTCATGAGAACTCATTGTACTTTCTCTGCAGCTCTTCTGTGAATTTAAAATTAATTCAAAATAAAAACCTAAGGCAGCTAACCTTAGGGAATAAAGAAAAATAGTAAATAGGAAACCTGAATAACAAAGGAATTAGACTATTTCATGTTGGGTTGCTAGTCTTTCATAATCGATACTAGCTAATTAGTGATATTAGATATTAACTGATCAGTTATATGTTTCCTACATCAAAAATGGAAAACTTAGTTTGTGATAAAAACCCTTAACAATTCAATTTATATGCTATTTATGAATCTACACAAAATTAAAATGATATGGAACAGTTTAGAATAAAGTATATAAAAAACTGAGAGCAATATACCAGAAAAAGTAAAATTTCTTATGAAGAGCATTAAAAATGACAGTTATATTTCATGTATAGATTTCTATGTATAACTATCAGTATATAATTATATTTTACTTACTGTTTAAGCATAGATCATTATACATAAGATACAAATTAATTATATATTTACACAAATACATATCATTATCATGAAGCCTTATGAACCTGTCCTGTAATTAGAAGTAGAGTCTGTAGTTAGAAAAATTGATAAAAGGACAAAACCATGGTTAGGAAAATTTTGACACACTTATAAACAGAAAGATCAAGTAGACCTAGTATAAGAAAACAAATAATAGTAATAAAACAAATAATAGGTTAACTGTAAAAAATAAATAGAACTTTATTCCTAACAGAAAATGCATATTATTTTCAAGTACATTAGTACAGATTTACTGTTAAGCTGTGAATAAAATGTCAACAAATTCTAGAAAAATAGACATCATTCAGGGCAGTTCACTGTTGAGAGCATATTGAAATAAGAAACTGGCAGTAAATAGCTCACAAAATTAAATACTAAAATACGCTATCCTCTTGCAAATTAAATGTACCTTTATTTAGAAGTTTAGTGTAACTTATTAAAAAATGGAAATATAAACAAAGTATATTTGGTACAAATATGAATGCACTATATACTACAACCTGTTGGGTATAACACTTGGAGGGTTTAGGTCCTCTACTGTGCTTTCCAGAACTTTCTACAATGATGAAAATGTTCTGTAATTGTGCCAGGTGATATGGTAGCCACTTACAGATATCAAGGTTTGAAACAGGCCAGTGCTTTTGAACGAAAGTTCAAGCTTTAATTAAAGTGAGTTTAAATTTAAACGGCTACATATGACTACCATGTTGGACCATACAGTTCTATAGTCTCTAGTAAATTTATTCCAGAAGAAAAAAATAGGAAAAAAGTATTAATTTGTAATTAGCATTGTATATCTAATATTACGTATTATAAGGGGAAAAAATGAGAACCAAGACCTGGCATGTAAAGGTACAAGATCCCAGTAATGAATGTAACTGTACTGTTTACCTAGAATGTACCAATAAATTAAATTTTAAAAAGTTAATACATTTGAAAATATATACAGATAAATAGGACTTTTAAAAACATACAACAAAATTTAAGCAAAGTGGAACACTTAAATTTGCCAGTAAGGCAAACACTAAAGAACTGTAAAAGGTAGTCTAGGATCCACCTATATAAATGCTTTTAGAACCAGTTTTTATAAACATGTTATAAATAACCCTCAAGAAGTAGGTAATTTCTATGTCTAATAAAATGTTTGACAATATAGAATAATATTGAAGGAATTTTATTTTTCAAGGCTAGCATATAACCCTGATACTCAAACCTAATAAGACCATACATTATAAAAAAATTATATTCATTTTAACTTGTGATCATAGACACAAACATTTAAGTCAATTAAATGAATCCATTGCACATTATAAATTGGTTTATCCTAGCATACTAGTTAGTGATAGTTATTAGGAAATCTAGTAATACAATTTACTACCTAACAGATTAAAAAATAATAGCAAGATCATATACTGGAAAAGCATTTGATAGATTTCAGCACCCATTTCTGGTATAAAATTCAAACTCTTCAAATAGAAACTTTTAAAATTTGATAAATGATATTGACCAGCAACCTTTAATAAGTTTCATATTTAGTGATTAAAAATTTTCAAAATATTCTCTCTAAATCTAGGAACAAGCAAAAGTGTTCATTGTCACTTCTACTATTCACCATTGTTTTAGTTATTCTAGCCAATGCTTGAAATAAATAAATGGTTCACATTCTGAAAACTGAGACAAAAATGTCACTTTTTGAATATTATAATTATCTCTTTAGGAAATTGAGAAGAGTCAACTAAAATATATTGGAACTAGGTAGAGCCGTGAAGTACTTGAAGCAAATTCTTTGTATAGAGATCAATATCTCTTCTTATAATAAAAGAAAATGCAACAAGAGAAAAGATATCCCCTTCATAATGACCTCTAAATATTAAAATGTCTGAGAATAAATACACAAGGACACATGCTAAATCTACAGGAAAATAAGTAAAAATCAAGAACATAAAGAACCTAAGTTCTCTGAGGGTCATACTTTCTGATAAGGGAAATTTAATATAGCAGTGATATTCCCTATTCTCTAAAATAAGTGTAAGCAACCCAGCACTTCAACAGGATTTCTTAACAAGCTGATGCTAAAATTCTATTAAAAGAGTAATGGTGGGAAAATATGGAAGAGCCAAAGTGAAAAATAACAAAGAAATGTTGTACTTTATCAAATAGCAAAATATAGTGTAAATAACTAGTAATTAAGCAGTATGCTTACCAGGCGTGTACAAAGGTGGCATTTGAAAACACTGAAGGAAGTTTAGCTTGTTCAAGAATGCTATTAAATTGATTAGCTCTATACTTGGAAAAGATAAGTTAGATACCTAGCTTATGTTAATAACTAAATTCCAGATGGAATAAAAAGCTAAATGCAAAAATAAAACCTTAAAATCATTAGAATATACCAACCATAGAAGCATGTTTTAATATAAGACAGAGTTGCATCTTTGGCAGACCATCTTTTTTATATACAAGTATTTCCAACCCCTCCACTTCTTTTGGCTTCATTTACCACCATCAACTCCCCAGTCTGTTTTCTGTTTTCTTGTATGGATATCTGTGCGTGGCATTTCCAGTTGTTTCCTGCTAGTTCCATTAATTTAAGCATCCTCATTCTTGTACATTTTCGGTGGGTTGTATTTGCTGTTACAGAAATAAAACAGAAATAAAGGTGAAGGTGGAAATTCTTTTTTTTTTTCTAATTGTACTTGAAAATACCCCCAAGTGGAAATAAAGATCTTTTTAGGTTTCAAATATTTGAATGTCATATGTATTCCATTCAGAGGACTTCATTTGGGCATTTCTTAGGCCTAAGGAATTTAATGCTTTCTCTGCTCTCTGAAATGTGTGTTTTACCAAAGTAAGTTATATGAGTCACCAGTTTGGTTTTCTCAGGAGGACAGAGGATTGGGAATTGGGATTATTAGAATCTTGTCTGTTATTACTAGCACAAGAGTGAGATGTACAGGAAAACCGCAGTAGAATAACAGTAGGCAAAATAAAAACATAGTATAAGCATTAGATCCATTTGCTACCTTAGGTATTGAGGACATGAAACTAATGATCTCTGCCCTTGAAGTGCTTATAGTTGACTGGCCAATACAGTGATAGAAGCTGTCATTGTGTTGTCACCTTTATTTGTTTTATCCTCACACAATATTTTCTATATACGCAGATAATAACTATAAACTGCTTCTGTTTTCTTCTTCTTACAGGCAAAAATAGATCTTTTATTAGTTGGAGATTTCACTATTCACTACCTGGCTGATGATATACAGAAATTTTTTCCAAATTCAGCAGAACTTATTATCACCATTAGCGATGTAAAAAAGGCAGCTACACTTTTGGATGACTGCACGTTTGACATGGTTTTCTTGAAGATCACTTCATTCCTAACTGCTGAGGAGCTAGAAGCTATAAAGTTGATTAGGTAAACTTTTAATCCCTAACTCTATATCTTTAGCATAGTTCTTTTTGAAGGTGTAGGGAAAGTGGGAAGGGAAGGGGAAAGGTAATAAAGGAAAAAAATAGGAGAAAATGAAAAAAATGGAAATAAAGTGTTTGTAAATGGGGAGGGGAGGAGGGGTGAAGGGAGGGCAGGGACAGGGGGAAGAAATGATAACCAAGACCTGTCATGTAAAGGTACAAGATCCCAATAATGAATGTTAATTGTACTATATACCTAAAATGTACCAATAAGCTCAAAGAGAAAAAAATGTATCTCTGTAAAAATCCTGAAAGCTGATGTATTTCTACTTTACTTTTTAAAAGAAAGCATATCTTCATAGGGAGAATTTAGACACATGTTTTTATTGCCAGTTTGACATTGTTATAAGAATTATTTTAACTTGCGAAATCATATATATGGATGACAATGCAAGAATTAATTTGTTATAGAAATTTATTTGTTACCTAGTGCTTACATTACTCCTGTAGGTATGCTTTTTAAATAACTAAAATTAAAATGATGCATCTTTTAGAGTTCATTAATTGTTATGTCAAAAAATAAAAGGAGCAAGCTTCTCAGCTTTAGGCTGCGCTGGTTGTGGACTGAACCTGTCTCTTGGAGCCTTGAGGCTCACTCTGGATCCATTGAGATCAGACATTACTACCTCCAACATTCCTCTTTCATCTTACAGCTCCATAGAAGCTCTACTTCTTTCTAGTCTTCTCCGTTTCTCAAAATCTGGAGTCTGATGTTGGAAGAGTTAGGTTCTTTTTTGCCTATGTAGGAGTTTTGGACCACTTAAAATGTTTTCATATAGTTAGGTAGGAATAAATTTGTTCTCTTTCTACAAAAAGATGTGATAGGGAAAATGGAGTTATAGGTAATATTGGAATGCATACAAACTTGTCAAATTATAGGACAGGCCTTTCTAGGCTCAAACAAAGTTTAGAGATAATATTATGATTCTTTAAGAGATCGGAATGAGCAACTTACATATATTAGGGGAAGAAAAGTGTTGGAGTGGGTACAAGGCCATTGAATAACTTATTAAGGAAAGACAGTACTCCTGGAGTTTCTTAGAACAGCTAGGCTTCAGCATTTCTCTTTGCTGTCTATTGGGAATATGATTTGTAGACAAACCAGGCAAACCATCTACCTCAATAGTGGATTTAACTGCCAAACATTTTATGAACTGTCCTAAATATATGCCTGTGTTACACATATTTAAAAGATCTGTAGATAGTATTCCCTGGTTGAGAACTTAGTACAATATTGCGTTCACTTAGTATTTTTTATTTTTATAACATCTATAAGATTTGTAGAGCAAGGTTTCATTGCCTCTAGTTTTCAAAGATGAGAAAACTAAGGCCGAAGTGACTTGCCTTAAACTGTATGGCTTATTTTCACAAAACTCAGCTAAAAATCCTTATTCTCCCTTCAGGTTTTTTTTCTAAAAGTATATACATATTTGACTTTTGTATGAAAGCCATTTATTTGACACCTTTGAGATTCATCTCCTTTCTTCTCCCCTCCTCCCTCACTTCCAGTGCTCTGGCTGGAACCCAGGGCCTGGTATGTGCCAGGCAAGCACACTGTCACTTAGCTACACTCCAAATTCACAACTTAATAATTCTTGGCAGATAAAAGATGGTAGATGAAAGGACTAAAGGTACAGATATGCATAAAGTAGTTCTGTTATTTCTCTGTAAAAGTATTTGAAATGAAAAAAAAAAGGTAAATTTGTGGAAATACTTGGATTATTTTTCTTGTCTCTTGTTCATCTATTCCCAATTCATAATGTAAGCCTTGACTAAGAGCCAGGATTCTCTACCTTTCTAAAAATATAAGTGAATGAGTATATAAATGAGTAGGGGAAATGCTGTTGGGAGTGGACAGTGAATTTAGCTTTTGTATTCCTCTTTGAAACATGGATGTTTTCTTTTTGGAAGCTTTATTTTTGTGATGCTGGACTCAGAGGAATGTCTGGAAATTCCCTGTCTTTCCCTCAAAACTGTTAGGAGTTTATGAATTATTAAACCCTTGTGGAGGGGTCTCAACACACTGTTTTCCTTGGAGTTACGAGTATTATATACTACTGCCTCATTGTACAGTGTTTAAAACTTAATGTTTCCTAAGGCATAGTATCCTGTAACTTTTGGCTAACATTTAATTACTAACTCCAAATGAATTGACTTGTTTTAGCCTTGCTTCTTCTGATTTATAGATTTTTTTTTACCCTTAGTATTTGTTTTTGCTTTATAGTGCCTCAAAATATGGATTGGTCCAGGAAAATGTACAACTACAATATTTTTCTTATTCTTCTTTTGGACACAGTATATTCCCTTCCAGGAAATGAGTAATTTATTAGAATAGAAGTGTTCACATTTATTTATACCTGTAGAACACATGATCACAAACCTATGTATCTGTAAAGAATATGGATTTTTTTAACATAAGAATAAAGTTTAATGTGTTACTTATAACATTAGAATAAAATGAAAGCAGCCTACAGAAAAGATTTTTATGAGCTTTAAATTCAGTGGTAATCATTGATCTACTTTAATCATTCATAAAAATAATGGTAATTTCTAGACACATTCTTAAGAATAATGGCATATCTCAACTATAGATTAGTGTTCCTGGTAGTACTCCCCAATTTGTTTTTTATTTCATGAATGTATTGAAAGGATGAATTTTTACTGAGCCGGATGAATTTTTACTGAGCCTGATGAAGTCACACACTACCCAGGGTAACATTCATAGGATCTACCCAGAATTCCAAGGTATTTCACTCTTGTTTAAGTCACTTATCAAAATTAAGTCACACTCAAATTTAGATATATCCTAAAATTATAGCTTCTAAAGGCAGGTACAGAAAATAAAATTCATCAACCGTGTATGGATCCTCACTGGAGTTTTGGTTTTACTTTCCATAAAATGGCTCTATAGTTCTGAACATTTCATGATTTTCATGAGCTCAGAGCTTTTAAGTAAAAAGAAGGGAATGCAGATTGTGGTTACAGTTGCTCAGTCTACAAATCCAGTTTGAGTCTGATTTCATTTTTCCCCATGTAGTTTCAATCGTCCCATCAATTCATTAAGAATGTTCTTATGAGCTATAAGAATCTAACACCTTCTCTTTTTGTGTCCCAATTCCAAAATACCCTCAGCCTAACAGTGCAACTTAGTACGTTGAGTTCAGAGTACAGTTGTACTCTTGTAAATCTTAGTGAGTTTGCATGACCAGAGTCCCATGAATACTTGGAAGTAAACACAGTAACAACAAAATATCTAAGTACAGCTGTGTTGCATAATGTTAAAGTCAGTAGCACAGACAGCACATAATATTTGTTAATAACTGTGTAACTGGTTTATATGTTTACTTTTTTATTTTTTATTATTGTTTTTAGTACTGGTACTGGGGATCAAACTCAGGACCTTGTGCTTGTGAGGCAGGTGGCGTATATGTTTATATCTTATAGTTTAGAAGGTATTTCTTCCACTTATAAAATTTTTACTCTAAAACTTTATGCTGTGTTAGCTAGCAATAGCCTTACATCTCATGTTTATTGTGTCTTTTGATTTTTACCAAGTAAAAGTGATTCATCAAGTGATTGACCTATTCCATCTAGGTTTGTATACATATACACTATGATGTTTGCACAGTGGTGAATCCACCTAACAATGCATTTCTTAGAATGTGTTCATCATTTAGCAACACATGGTTGTAGTTTTACTAAAATATTTGTCTTATAAATCTGTGGTATACATGAACAGGGATGGACCAAAGTTCTAGATTTGTAATTTCTAGCACCATGTGACATGGTATGTTTGACCCAGGAGGTTTATAAGGGGAACTCTTCTGTGAAATAGCATAATGAAAGAAGGGCATACTAACCTTTAGTGAGGACCAGCATGAACTGTTGGAGTATGAACTACATTTCATCACAGATGCCTTTGTAGTAGCAGGTGAACTAACTGTTCTCATGATCACAGTGAAAGCATCAATTTTCTTACTCAAAATAGTTAAGTAGTTAAGAAAGAAACAGTTCTTGTGAATCTCAAACCATGCCAGATTAATTTGGCTACATTTGGTCCATGAACAGTTCAGTACATAACTGTACTCAAGAAGGTTAGGACCCAAACACAGTACTGGTGTTTGCCCCTGCAAGTCCCTATGGCTCTTAAATGAAATGAGTTTTTAAAATTTCCCCAGTTCGGAGGGACATGTAAGACCTCTTGACTTACGTAGATCTTAGCTTATAGAGGTTAAATATGTTTCTGAAGGTGATCCAAAATGTGAATATTTTAATTTAAAAGATATTTGTAGTAACAGATACATTCCCATGAATCCCTCTAAAAATACCTCCCTTCATTTTGAACACACTTATCCTATCATTCTTACCACTTTTTCTGAAATAGTTCTGAAAGTCTTTTTTCATGAATGTCTTAAGTTGTGCTGTTGTGGCTATCTTGATGTTCTAAGTTGATTCAAACATTCATTTTACATTTTATGGTCCTTTTGACTTCAGGGAAGAGCCAAAAGTCTTACGGTGTCTGATCCAGTGAATAAAGTGGATGAGGACACACTATAATGTTTTTATGAGTCCGCCTTTCTGTTGGATGGCACTCAGCAACATCATTCACTATTCTGATCATACCTCATAAAGACACTCACTGAAAAGAACTTCTAGAACTGCTTCAGAAAGTGGCAAGAGCAATGAGATAAGTGTTTGAAGTGTGAAGGAGTATTTTGAGAGGGCTTAAGGGTAATGTATCCTTTGTTATATATATTAGTATATATAGTATATACATTTTATATGTATATATATATCCATACACACACATATACATACATTATTTTTTTTTGAGACAGGGTCTTGTTATGTAGTTCAGGTTGGCCTTGGACTATTATGTAACCCAGGCTGTCCTCCAGTTCACAGAAATCCTCCTGCCTCAGCCTCTCAAGTGCTGGGATTATA